CTGCCGCCAAGGCCGCTTTCCAGGCGGAGTTCGAGCGCGCCGCCGCCGCCGCCGAGGCCGCCCCCGACTTCGACCTGGACGGCGCCCTCTCCACCTACAGCGGCTACCTGTCCACCGTCAACGACAGGCTGTCGCCCTTCTTCACCAACACGCTGCCCTACGGAGCCTTCGGCCTCCACGCCCCCGTGCTCGCTGGCGCCCCTCTCGCCTACAGCGGCCTCCACGGCTTCCCCGGCGCCTACGGCTTCCCCGGCGCCTACGGCTTCCCCGGCGTCGTCGGGTCGCCCTTCGTGCAGGTCGTCAAGGCCGAGTAGACCGGCCGGACGCCTCCCGTGTGAGAGTTTTGTACAGTGCATGCAACACGTCCTTCTTTTCTCCAACTTCCCGAGGTGTATTTCACAATGTACACTTGCTGAGCTAAACAAAAAAAATAAACGATTAATTGTATTTCTTCCAGTTCCTTTAGTCCTGCAAATAAATAATGAAACTACTCTTTCTGCACTTCCATGCAATTATGATATATTTTATCATTTTGTGTTATTTCGCGTTCTATGACAGGAAACATACTTTCACCATGTTTACTGTCACGTGGAAATTTCTAATAATCATCAAGATTTTTTTATGATGATACCCATAGGTCTGATAAGAGCAGGAAAAATAACATAATTAAAATGATGATGAAAAATAACAATAAACAGGATAATGATAATGATAATCACAATAACATTAGTAAAAGTAATGAAAATATCAGAGAAGTTTCTTTCTTTATATTCAGAATCAGACAGTAACATTTCTCCTAAATAGATCTGGACAACCACAGAGGTATAAGAATTAGACCACAGAGGACACAGCGGCTTAGTTAATGACTTACAGCTATGATTCTTTACATTTTTAATCTTACGATCCGATGGCTCTCTGCAGTGCCACCCCTAGAGTACACTTCCTAGTGCTGAACTTTACATAAAGGTAAAGTAAATAATATTAAAACACAACTTTATTCAAGATACACCTAATTTGAAGTGACAGATTACTGGAGAAAAACATGCTATTTGATAGATAGATAGATAAATGATGTTGAATTGATAGCTAGATCAGATTGATAGATATATGTAGTAATGGCAAATTTATAAACATCTGAACATCTTTCTCGTTATAATGAAATTTATTATGATATAGTATAGAATAATGATAACTGTAATCATCATCATCATTATCATTACCATCATCATCATTGTCAATATCATTATTACTAATATCATTATTATTATTATTATTATTATTATTATTATTATTATTATTATTATTATCATTATAATCATTATTATTATTATTATTATTATCATTATTATTATTATTACTGATGTTATTTTATCAATATTATTGCTATAGTTTTTATCATTATCGTTATTAGTAATAGTAGTAGTAGTAGTAATATCATTATTATTAATATTGATATCATTCATATTCATATTCATATCATTATTATTACCGTTATTTTTATTATTATGATTGTTATTATTATCATTATTAATATTACTATGATCATCATCATCATTATTATTATTATTACTATTACTTTTATCATTTTGTTAATATTATTATTTGTATTATTAATACCATCATCATTATCAAGATTAATATCATTATTATTATTATTATCGTTATTATTATTATCATTATTATTATTATTATTATTATCATTATTATTATTATTATCATCATCATTATTATTACTGTCATCGTCATTATTATTTTTTGTACTATGATTATTATCATTATTATGTTTATTAATATTATCATTGTTATTATTATTATTGTTGTTGTTGTTATTATTATTATTATTATTATTATTATTATTATTATTATTATTATTATTATTATTATTATTATTATTATTATTATTATTATTATTATTACCATTATTATTATTATTAATATTATTATTATCATCATTATTATTATTATCATTATCAATATTATTATCATAATGATTATTATTATTGTTTTTTTTTTTGTTATCACTATTATCGTTGCTGTTATCACGATTTCAATAATAATCATTTTGGTTATTATCATTATTCTTACCATAATTACAGCTTTCATTGCTTCCATTATAAACATATTTATTGTTGCAACCTTTATTATCAATTAACATCACCATCATCATCATCATGATCAATTATCAACATTTTCATCGCCACTATATTGTTAGTGTTTCTGTTATTAGTATCATTATCGCTATTGCTGTTTTGCTCAATAAAATCTTCAAATGTTAGAGGAAGTTGGAGGATGGAGGCTCACAGAAAGCCAAATAAGCCTTACAGTTTTTTTATTACAAGAAAGTTGAACAAAACTGTGCCTAAAACGGAGACAAAAGACGAAACTAGTGGGTATTAACTCTACAGCAACTGAAAACCTGCAAATAGGTAAAAAGTGATCTACATTTAATGTTGAAATGAATTATAGTTGATAAAACACAAGTAGAATATAAGATAAATAAGATCGAACTGAACCAAACTGCAAATAAAACAGGTGAAAGACTTAAAAGTAAAACGGAACTTATCGTGAGCAAAGATAAAATAAAATGTAATTAGTAAAACATGCAGGAACCTGAAAGTGAAGCTAGATGAGCAAAAACAAAACTGAATACAAATGAAAACAAACACGGGAGGAGACTGAAAACTGAAGCAGATCTTAAACGAAATAAAATAACATGGAAGGCAACAGAAGACTACGACAAATGAAATAAAAGACCATAAAAAGCAAAGAGCATTTGAATAATCATAAGCAAATCCTTACGTCCTTTGGCCTTAAACAAACGCTTCTCAACATTTTTCAAAAAACAATCTATGAATTCTTTAAAATGTTTTCGTTCGCAGGACCTTACAATATTCAATTGAAAATAATGAAATAAAAGCAGAAAACACAATAAATCGTGCAAACGTTAAAACGAAATGAAAATAGAAAACGGAATATATAAAATGCAAATCAAAAGGGCAAATAATAACTTCCAACGAAGCAACAGAAAGGGCTATATTTCGTTTGTTTAAAATGACGGCCACTAAAACATTTCAAAACAAAAGAAAAGAGATCCTTAGTCGGGGACCTCGCTTTTACATGGAGTAATAGGTAACGCACTCCCTTCTGTAAGTAACAATCGATGAGGTCACCGATTGTTACTTGCAAAAGGAAGTAAGGTCACAGATTGTTTGTTGCAAAGAGTAAGGTCACCGATTGTTACTTGCAAAAGGGAATAAGGGAATGCAAGTAACAATCAATGATGACCTCACCCTATTTGCAAGGAATAATCGGTGACCACGCTCCCTTTGTAAGGAAAATCGGGCCCGTATATATATGTATATATAGAATGCAATATCACGTCGTCTCACGCCAGGAGGCATAAAACAATGCTAATTATCTTGCCCCCCCTCAGGCTTACGAATATTGCCATATCTGGAAACTGACGAACTCGAGGTGGCAACACATTCCAGTTGGAGCCACGGGATGGCGTCGTTTTGCCCTAAATATCCCTTAGAGAGACTGAGAGAGACTACTTTACATTGCTAGGCGCTCTCTTGCATCTCCCTTCATGCTGCAACATGAACTTCGGTCGCCTTCCCTTCGCCTGAGCCGAGGGCATGAGCGTTTTATCCCGCGAGTGAGGAGGATGCTCGAAAACAGTGTTGCCACAGGCGGCTCCTAGATAACATTGTTTTGTTGTTTAATAAATGAGTATTTTATTCGCATTTTCTGGCACCACTCTGTCTCCTCGAATAAGCAACCGCGAGATGGAATTGAGTATTTATTAGTTCACAGAACGTTGTCTGTGTTTTTTGTGTACTTTATGTGTTTAGTGCCGAAAAGAAAAAGAACGAGTCACTTCATTAGTTCGCTACTAGCTGGTGTGGCCACGAGAGAGATTGTGATTTGCGAAGTTCTAGCTTCGTCCTGGGCCTTCGGCTATGGCCACGGCCCTCGAGAAGCATTTGCAATGGCATCAGCGATTTTGCCAAGGTTTTCCTTCGATTCAGCTGGCATGCAGAGACGTTTCCTGGCGTCTTCCATTGCCCAAAAGGGGCGCGGGTTCCGTTGAGACACCTGGAAATCGTTTCCGAATAGTTATTTTTTATCATGATTTGTTCACACTCCTCATTATCTTTCCACTCGTTTTTGAATGCTAACGCATCTGCTTTGTTCCTCTCTCAATACTATATGCGTTTTTCTTTCGTGTTTCCTTATCCTTTCTCTGATCCATTCTTAACTACCCAACGACGCCGCTGCTCGTTCCCTCGGCTGCCTCCCAGACGGCGCGAGGCGACCGCCGCCGCCTCAGTGTCCCTCAAGGTGTTGGCAAAATAAGACTTTCACTCTCTGTGGGCAGTGCGACTTGGACTGAGATTTTTCGAGTTGAATAGTCGAGTTCTTTTATTGTGTCGCTTTTATCATCATAGGCCATTCCTGTGTTGTGTGATAGTTTTCCTGCTGGATCCTGCCGGCCGCACCAACTAAGCGGAGAGCTCGTGAATCTGCAGGAGGGACCTTCATTTCCCAGCAACACTAAGGTTGGCCAGCTCATCTGCAGCCTCCACACTGACGGTAGTGGGACAAATATTTTCTGTTGTTAAAAACTAAAAATGGACTTTCTGCGCATCTCGTGTTGCGCTTTTCACTCGGGAGCCATTTTCTTTTGTGCACGTCGGACAGACTCGTGTTTTCGAAAATGTGAATTTTCAAGCTCTCATAAATCACTTTCTTTGATTTCTCCAGGTTCCTATTGCCATCCTCCCCCCACCCCCACCCTCGTCCCCCACGCATCTCCCAAGATCGTCGTGTAGAGGAAATCCCTAAAAAGGATCAGGTTTTCCTTTATTTAGCGTCGCTCTCGGCAACAAATGCCAAGCTCTCAGACCCTAGAGAGTCCTCAGTCGAAGTCATTCTCTGAAAGAAAATCGTCCTCTTATAAAATATATGACATTCTTGACGCCTCCTTATCTGATCTGAATTTAAACATTTTTAGAAAGCCTATGGAAATTGAAAGCTAACCTTAATGAATGCCTTCCTCCAAAAACGTGAATTTTAAAATTGTGTCCCCGTGATTTATTTAACTTTTCTCTTCCAATTTTGAATTGGTCGTTGCGTTCCCCTCGTCCTCCTCCCCCTCCCCCTTCTGCTTCTTCTCCTCCTTCTCCTTCTCCTTCTTCTCCTCCTTCTTCCTCCTCCTTCTCCTCCTCCTTCTCCTCCTCCTCCTCCTACTCCTCCTCCTCCTCCTACTCCTACTCCCTACCCTCTTCTCCCTCCGTCCTCCTCCTCCCTCCTCGCTCCCTCCGTCCTCCTCCTGCTCCCCCCCCCTCCTCCTCCCCCTTCCCCTTCCTCCTCCACCCTCCCCCACCCTTCCCCCTCCTCCCTCCAACCTCCTCCTCCCTCCAACCTCCTCCTCCCTCCCCCCTC